CTTATATCTCGTTCAAAAAAACGTGCATTAAATGCAATGAAATCAAATCGTTTTCGAGATTTTACTGTTGTCAAATCGAATGATCCAACATCAACATCGAATAGTATTGTGGAAGAAATATCAGCAACAACAACAACAACATCGGAGGATAATGGAACGGATACAAACGTTAAATTTACTGTGGTTCTTCCACCGAAAAAGAGTTCACCAAGTGAAGAAGAAGAAGATGATGATGAGGAAGGAGGACACAAATCAAAACGACAACGACGACGATCATGGAGTGATAATAATGATGATGATGATCGACAACATAAGGAAAAACCTCATTTTACAGTAACTATTGATCCAGCATCTAAACATACAAAGTATTCAAGAAATAAAATCAATGAATCATCGAAATCAAATAAAGAGTACGAATCTATTTTATATAAATTATTATTTTTATTTGATTATTGTTATTTTAGTGATGATGATAAAGAGTTAACATCTGTTACTGATGCTCGACAAATTCTTGAAAGAAAACGACGAAATCGAAGATGATTTTCAAATTAGTTTTTGTTTTCTTTTTTTTTTCTTGTATTATAAAAGACACATGTTCCATACTAATTCCGAATACGATTATATGTTCATTCTTTTTTTTTCTGTTACATCGATATTGTCATGTAATCTGGACTTGAATAGAAATAATAGAACAGAAAAACTTGGTGAAAATAAATATCAACAATTATAAAGCACGTTTGTTCTGGTTGAAGGACGAGAGCGTCTATTGAAATGGCTCTTGCCTAGTATTGCGCATTTATTAGATATTTTAATCAGTATTTAATTCGTTTTTTTTTTGTGTAAAGTGATTAACGAATGTGAAAAAAAAGGAATGCTAATCTCTTAGTGTTTTATTCTTATTAAAATGATATTCATCATTTAGAATATACATGTATTATTGGACATAGATAATTATCAAACTCGAAACACAAGGAAAATCATATCGATAATTTTTATTTAATATTGATTCCAAGGAAAATCTATCAAACGCATATAATAGCATGTTTGATAATTAATTCTCTATTGTATGCACTACTCATAATTAAATACATGAAAAGAATAATTTTGATTTTCTACACATTTAAGTTGATATTCGTAGATTTTCTTTCAACCTCAATTGCATGACGAAATTAATCTTATTCATACTTCTTTGTATTCATCTAGTGCACTGTATAAACTAAAAGATAAATGGATGAAAAAGGAAACTTCAATATGTGATTGTGTTTTAATAATAGACTCCTTGACTTTTAATTTTAGGTTTTCAATCAAGTTCGATTTGTGTTTCAGAATAAATTCATCAATAAAACACAATGTGAACCTAGGTATTTTATTTTTGTGATGCGTTGCATACAAAATTTCAATTTTTGTCTAAACAAAACTTGATGCCCTAACAGAAGATCACGAGTACATAATCAGAAAACAATAAAAGTATAGTTCGCAGAGTTTTCGTGTGTGAATCAGAATACTTTTGATTGTTTTGATGAGTTGTTTATTTTCAGAACATTTTCAATAATCATACGACCAATTTGTAGATACAAATTAAAAAATATTCTCTTCTCTCGTTTAGATATTAAGAAATGTTTGTGATGCCGTAGAATATGTAGTAGCCAGAGGTAAGCAGTGAAGTATGCATGAATAAGTCAGATATGTTCATCTTATATAAACGATAATATGCTACAATGAAGGGTATGAGTCTGTGAATGTGAGTGCAGGCTATTGTCTAATTGAGAATTTTTTTATTTTTTTCGACATAGTTAAGTCAAACGAATTAAATTTTTTCAAACGGAGAAATTTTGTTCAAAACTCTATTGAAAAATCCTAGTATTCAACTTTAATAAATATGATATTAATTTCAAGATATATTTTTTTTGTATGATTTAAACGTTTTCTTTTATGTAATAAAAAATTCTATACAAAAATAGATGTAACTCTCTTTATATTCATTTCCATTACAAATACATAGTATCCAGTTCATGTTTTATCATGTAATCAACAACCTGTTATGATCATTTTCATAGTTACGACGGTGACATAATAACGCCAGATTTCACCATCCGATATGATTTAAGACAGTTTACAGCACTATTTTCTTGACATACTTTCTTATCATTTCATCATCTGTTGTTGAAACGCAGAAACACAACAGTAACTAGTACAAAAACAAATAATTCATCATCTACATGATCAGTATAATCCATTTTAAGGATGCGAGTGTGAATTTGAATCTTTCTTTCGTTTGCCAACATCAAATACTTTTCAAATCTAGTCATGAGGCTTTTATATTAGGAAATTTAAATAACAAAAATCGAAATCGTTGCCAAGAGATCTTCTAGCCATTACATTAACTAATCATAGTGACGCAAAGATAATGTAGACAAGCAAGACCACGATTATGAATGATGATGTACTTATTAATAAACTATCAGATTAAGTTTGCATTTACTAACATTTTCTCTTGATGAATATGGTCTTACATCTTTCTTAGCAAATTGTATCACTATTCATATAAGAAATATTACTCTTTTTCTTTAGTTATTTGTTCACCTTCGAGCGAAGTATATAACATATTGATTGATCAGAGAAGATTGTATTCTTTCCCCTTACACAACTGAACGATTGAATCTAATCGACTAAATTTCATTATTATGTGAACAAAAATTTCCTTTCCTAATTTAGAACTTTATTTTATTTATGTTTATCATCTGTATACAAATAAGAGAACAAAAATTTAAAGAAATGCAACCAATATTACACCACATATTGCTTCAAGTTTTTTCGAATATGTTTGTTTATTTAGTGGATTAATTTGATGTAGAAATGATGTAAAAGCATTTGTGTTAAATTTATATGTATGTTCAAGTTTTAATGAAGTAGTCACTTCATATGCATTACATAATGATTAATAATCATATAAATTTTATATTTGATTGTACGGGTTGGGTATGAATATAAGTCTTCCTTTCATTCATACTTACATCTTCAGTTACATGAATATATGAAGATGAAACCCCATGAAATTGATGCTCAGTGTCAACATACACAAACTACTGATTGTGAATATACGAAGTACTATCTATATTGTAAAAATTTGATGAGAATCGAGTTTGTCAAAGGTAAAATAATTTAACACCATTTGAAAAATTTATGCATGATAAGAAAATTATCAAGTATGTGCACCCGACCAAACATTTATTAACTAATGATGATAATTAGAAACTTTCGTTTTGAGTATAGATTAAAAATTTAATTGCACTGAATGTTGAAAACGAAATCAAGTTTTGAGCTTTTATACTTTTTTCCAATAGTTTTTCGTCGATAAGAATGTACTACCGATATTTCAATGAAACATATTTCATTAGGCTGTTTCTATCAATATTTTAGTACTTTTAAATAATGACAAAATTTCTCGAAGTTGTTATTGATCGTTACCTTTTTTTAATTTTCTTTATTTGATAAGAAAACCTTACCGAAATAGTTGAATTTCAGTATTATATTCAGTCACATACATAAAATAAAATGACACTATCAGAAAGTTGTTTTTTATTTATAATAAGAATAATCATTGTATATGAAACTTTGTTTATTTTGTTGAAAACTTATTAGTTCATAAGCTATTGTAAGGCTGTATTTTATACACTATCAACATGATTTGTAGCATATATTCGAATTCAAAACAGTCAAAAAGTAATACGATAGCTTCTCAAATATTATATTATAAATAAAATATTTATTTTAAATCAAGAAAAGCAACGCTTTGATAGTGTTATGTTCGCTTATATATTTGACTGGATATGATATGGAATTTTAAATAAATTTACGAGGGAAGGTCCTCAAGTGTGAATCACCGTTTGGAATGGGAGATATCCTAGTTTGTAGAGCTCGACGAGCTGATTCTCGTGGTAGGGTTCGTTTTCCCCGATAGAACTTCAAAAGTACATAATTTTTATATGGTCCTGTTATAGAATAGAGAATGCCGCATGCGATGATCTATGTTTCTATTATTTTAAGAGTAAGTTCAGCGTCATCTTCTGAATATATAACAACATTTTCTCTCGGGAATGCTCAAATACCTCCAAGTGTAACAATTCAACAATTAAAATTCATAGCAATGGTGAAAATAAGTTTTACAAGGAAATATTGTTCCCAGATTCTTTGAAAATAATATAAAAATAGATCATCGCATGCGGCATTCTCTATTCTATAACATGATCATATAAAAATTAAGTACCTTTGAAATTCTAAATTTCTAACAACTGCCTGGAAACTTATGCAAACTGTAGAAATTCACTAGCAAAATCGATCAGTTTTTCTCATTTGAAGTTCTATCGGAAAAACGAACCATACCACGAGAATCAGCTCTTCGAGCTCTACAAACTGGAATATTTCCCATTCTAAATGGTGATTCACACTTGGGAACCTTCCCTCGTTAGTGAGATTTTCTTGTCAATTGAAGACAACTTAACAAAATACTGATGATTCGTGACTATAATTTATGAAAGTGATTGATAAAAGTCTAGGAAAATCGTAAACAATACCATATGTATATATATAACAACTAACAAATTTAATATATTTTCACGCATTTTTAAGTAGATTAACGAAAATGTTTACATCTTTATTCGTTATATCGTAAAACTTTTAACAATATTTTTATGTACTTTTGATCGTTCAATATAACTATTATTTTTATATGAGTTGTTATCATCGTTGCAATTATTACAATAAGTTGTCAACTTCTTTGAATATGCACGAATTTTATCACCATGACATAGAAAACAAAACAAAGATCAAACTAGGATAGAAATAATCATTGAAAGAAAAATCGCATAAAAATATATTAATATCATTTAAAACAAAAATATAGAATAAAGAAATGTTAGATAAAACCTATGTATTCATTAGTCTAATCAATCTATACACACACAAAAGCACACAAACAAGAAAAAGAAATTTGTTTGTTTTTAATGACGATAAGTAGAATAACTACCGTATCGACTACGTAAAGATGCTGAGAGATATCTTGATGGTAAAATACTATCAAAATCACTATCATTGTCATATTTTGAGTAACTATAAGTCGAACTGCTTAATGGTAAATCATAATTATTTATATATTTAGTACGAAAACGAGTTGGAATACCTAATGATGAGTCATAAAAACGTGTTCGATAACCTAAATATCATACACGAATGGATTATATATTATTAACAAGTTATAAATCATACTTGGACTAGTATATGTCGGTCGAGATTTGGATAATTCATTTTCAATTGAACATAAACGAGTTCGAGTTTCATCCAGTTGTTTTCTTAATTTAGCACAAAGAGCCAAAGCAGCTTCAGTAATTAATTGTTGTGGAATAAGTTTATTATTTTTGCATGCAGCAATTGTTTCTTCATTTACACGTGAAAAATCAATTTGATTAAGTAGTTCTTCTCGTTCAGTACTACTCAATGTTGTTGAATTTTCTATAGTATATTAAATAAAAATATTACTTTAATTGAAAAAATAAAAATTAAACTAACCATTTTTAAGGATATCATCGAGTGCAAGTAAAAGACTATCATGTGAATTTCGTTGTTCTTTTGGTATACATGAAGCTAATTTAACAAATTGTTCACTTGTAAGTACACCTCGTTGACGAAGTTGTTCAACATATGAATCAATTAAGGAAGATAACTAAAAACAAGAAAGTAAATTAAATAATAAGAAAAGAAAATTTTAAATTATATTAGAATAATTAATTACTTTTGCTAATACTTGTGGATCTTGAATATGTTGTTCTTTATAGTTGTTAACACGTTCTAACAATCTAGTCATAATTTCATCAGGAATATTTTCTATATTTTTATCTATATCATTTGAATTAAGAATAGCATATGTTATATAAGACGATAATATCGATTCACATTCACATCTTAATTCAACTGCTCTCTCATAAACAGCATTAAGCCACACAAGGGGTAATTGTTCAAGTATACTTCCTAATGTTTGAACAATTTGATCAAGTATTGCTCGTTTTTCATCATTGGTTGTTATTGACATATGTTCTTTTTTTGTAATAGGTATAAAACTATTTTTATGTTCATATCCATTATGTGTAGATGATGAAATAGAAGTATACAATTGATTTTGATCAAGTATATGTACTGTAATGTAATGTTTAGCCAAAGGTAGAACAGCAAATTTACTTTCTGTTGGACATAATTTAATTAATTCAATAATCCATTCAAGTGGTAAACGACTAATTATTTCACAATCCGATATACTTAATTGTAAACCAGTACCACGAACTAATGATTCAAGAATAGATTCAAGACATTTATCAACAATATGTGTTTGTTTCGCCCATTGTTGATATTCACCAATGCATTGTTCAAGTAATACTAATGGGATACCCAAATCATATTTAGCTCGTGCAATTAAAAGAATTCGATCAAAACGTTCATCAAGTAATGAAGCTAATGTATCACATTCAATAAAACATGCTGCTGAACGAAGAGGAATAATATTTTTATGATCAATAGGTATTGGTATTGAATAAAAATAATCTGCTAATTGATTAAAAACTTGAGCACCACCTGGAAAATTATTGTCTAATCGAATAACATATGGAGCAGATTTTGTTGATGATTCTATAGCTCTTTTAAAGTAATCACTTTTTGTAATTAATGGAAATGTATGTAGTTTAAATTCAGTTTTATCTACGATCACTGTAACATCGGATAATTCACCAGTACGACGAAACTTCTCAAAACTCATTGTCTAATATAGAAAAAGAACAGAGCATCAAATGATGATGATGATGATGATGTCGACAATCAAAAAGAAAAAGAAAAAAAAATATTTGTTCAGCCTTGCACAGGTTTCGTCAAAAAAAAAGAAGCAGAAAGAAACGAGAAATCGTCACAAACGTGCATTGTCAACAGAAGTAGTGTTCACATTTACCAATAGCATTAGAAAACAAAGAAATTCACTTAAGTTGAACGTTATCGACCATGTAAAAATGCATGTGTCTGTGTGTGCGTATGACAGTGCTTCCTTCTTTTCTTTCTATTTTTTTTTTGTTTTAATATGCTATTGCCTATCTGTTATTTGTTCTTTACAAATCGACAGGGTGTCAGCACGGTAGTTCTGTTTTTTTTTTGCGAAGTGAATTTTTATTGAATTTAACATTGAAAACTACTAGTAAATTAAAAACAAAAACTACTACTACTGGCATCATTATAAGTTTTTTTTGCTTGAATGAGAAAGAAAGAAAATGCATTGCAAGAAAGAATGATCATGATTTCAACGAGGCTTCACATTACTTTTAAATCTGGCTGTTTGTTGACGAAAAAATTTGTTTGCAATGCGATTGATAGGTATTATTGTTGTTGATGTCCTTGTTTCTAACTGACATTGTAGAATACAAGTTTACATATAACTAAATCGAATTTAAATTAAATTAAAGAAAAAAAAGAAGGAGTTGTAATAGATTCTTTGATTTCATACCATTCTATGTTTTTCTAATGTCAGTGAAAGTTTTATCTTTCGTTTTTTTTGATTTTTATCTTATTGTTAAGACCTTGATCACATTCGAAAAGTATTTGAGATTGATTAAAATAAAGAATTTTTTTATTGTGTTTATATATATACAATGCAGTTTTAATTATATGCAAATAATTTTCATCGATCAAATATGTCATAAAACAAGTCAATTGAATGATGATAAAGAAAATATGATATCAACTAAAGAAAAGAACTTTCATATTGATATAACATTAAGTATCGAAAATAAATATTTCGATTGTACTGCTGATACTTTAGAATTCTTATTCGTTGTCATAAGATGACAGACAAGTAAGAGAAGATATTAAATAAATAGATAAACATTTATTTAATATTAAATTTAAAGAAAATAATAAGACTGAAATAAACTTCTTGTAAATATGAGTCAAATCATTCTATAGAATTCAAAATAAAATTAGATTAGAATTATTTATACTTGTTCATGAATAAAATATTTATTTTTATAAAGTAAAAGTTTCATCAAAAATATACAACAATAATATATTTTCTATTTATATATTTACAAATAACAAAAGAAAAACAAAATCATCGGTGAAATAGTTCATGTATCAAAATAAATTTGTGTCTTTTTAAGTTGATTAAGTATTTCATCAAGTCGAATATGATTTTTGTTACCAAGTAAAAATGTAAATTGTTTTTGATTTTCTTTAAGAAATGAATTAATTTTATTATTATGTGCAATAATAAGTTCTTCATTTTTATGTATGGGCATAAAATTGAATATGAAAATTGCTTTACCACAAATAAACCTAATCAAAATAACAAAATTAAATTTTAATAAAAATTTTTTGTTTTTTTTTCAAGAAAATTTTACCAAAGACAATTTGCTTTTTGTTTTGAATCAATTGCTATTTTGAAAAGAGATGCTTGAGGCCACCAACCAACTAATGATTTTGATCGAAAAGGATTTTTTTGTTGAGTTTTAACAAGTAAACCCCATGGTATTGCTTTTGGATAAGTGCTATTTAAGAAAATGAATAAATAAATCAAAGCAATCATTATCAAAATGATATAAATAAAACAAATAAGAAAACTTTACTCATAATCATTTTCATCAGCATCTGTTTCATTTTCAAACCATTCATTAATATATGGCATAACACGAATTAAATCAAATTCCCAAGCAGTTGGTGCCATAATTAAATGTTTTTCAATTGCATTTAATAATCGTCGTTCATCATCAATACCTGATTTGACAAAAGTAAAAGCATGTTGAACAAGAAGTAAAGTACCAGATGGAATACAACATTTTGCATATGAATTTTGATTTCGTTTTTTTATACATGAACTATTATAAAAATTAGAATGAAACATATGAATATCAAAAAAAGTTGTTTGATGAAGAGATTCATTATTAAACATTTGTTTTAAATCATATTCTCCATGTTGATATTCATTTTTTAAACGTGGTAAAGCTGACTGAATTTGATTAAAATCTTTTGTATATTTTAAACGTAAATTAAAATTAATTGAAGGATTTTGAGAAAGATTAAAAAGTTCATCAAGTGCAAATGTGAATTCTTGTAATCCAATATTAGCACATGCAAGACGATAAAGACATTTTAAAAAGAATTCATCATAAGTTTGACTAAAAAATCGGCCAGTTACAACAACAAGTGAATCAAAATTTGCACCTGGATAAAGATGTTCTCGTAAATAACATGTCGAACGATTTGAATGTAATCGAGCTAGATCATGTTGAAAAGCATTTCGAAACAAATTCATTTCACAATCATTATCTAAAAAATTGAGATTAATATATTTTACAAAAACGAAAGAAGTTACCATTTGTCATAGCCATTGCAGCCATCGCCATAATTCGATTTATAGCATATGTATAATAATCAATAGCGATTTGAGTATCACCACGAATATATGCTTGATTACCACGATCACGTAATTCATCAAGTTTATCAATAACAAAATATTTTTTTTGTCGTTCAAATAATATTAATTCAGTATTTGGTGCATCACAACGAAGTGTTGGTTGACCATCGATATTACATGTTGTTAAAAATGGATCATATAATTTAATCATACTATCAACAGATAAAAGTTCATCAAGAATATGAGACAATTCTTCTATTGATTTAAATTCATTTGTTGGAATAATATAAGACCAATTACTAATCACTGAAACAAAAAAAACAATAAACATTGATTTCATTATACCATTAACCCTTAAGAGCCGAAGTGGCTTCCGCTTATAAAAATGAGAATCTAATTAGAAAAACAGAGATTATGGACCCTCAGTATACTCGTACTATAGTTAAAAATAATTACCTTCTTCTTATTCTGGACCTACGCAACCTCCTTTGGCAGGAATATCCATCACGGTAAAAATTCGAAAAAATAGGAATTTCGATCTAAAACTTTGCCTTTAGATAGTTTTGATAATACTTAATATGTTCCGAAATTTTCACTTAGAACGGATGCTTTCTTGCTGAGATATTCAAAATCCAAAAACCAGCTAAATTTTGCTAAAAATTGCTAAAAACTTCAACATTCTGTATCTCGCGAAAGAAACAACAGTTGTTCCTGAAAATTTTGAAACTTCCTAAACACTACTAGAGCTATGTATGAGCCAAGTTTCATGTTAGAAATACATTGTTTTGATTCTTCTATGAGGCTGAATGTCTCATCGAAGGAATTTTTTATTGATCACGGCACAATCTGTCAGTAGATCGGTTAAAATATTCTAGAACGCTGACATTGAATAGCTTGATGATAGGCTTAAGAGTGTAACATAAAATAAACTACACTGTATGTCGCATTTCCGAATAGATACAACTTTAGGAAAGAAATATGTTATTGAAAAAAGTCATCAGTCCTAAAAGGTGTTTTGCTACGCCTAACAGCCTCCTGAATACTACATTTTGGTCTAGGTATGGCCTCGAAAGTCATATCAATCCAGAATAATATTTGTTTTTGTCTACAACATTTTTATAAGACTTTGATTACAATTATTTAAATGTCCCTTGGAAGGGACATTCGGCTCTTAAGGGTTAAATGATGACTGAGTAATATAAAGCCATAAAATGTTATTCATGTTTGCATCTAACTTCGAAATTTTAGCTCTTGTCGAGTTCAAGCTTCTACGCATGAGAAAGACTTTCCAACTGATTAATTACTTTTGAGTTGAACCTATGTGCACTATATGAGTTTTAATGATCTATGAATTCCATGAAAAAGAATCTTGTTTCGCCAGTGGCAGAGATATATACGACTCCATAGATATTAACGACATTTATTTGTTATAGAATTCCTAAGATTTATCTTTCTATGATATGCATACGTTTCAATGGGACTCAAAGAAAATCATAGTTCAAAAGAATATGTCTCTAACACGGTCCTTATGTTTAACCTAAAGAAAAATATAAACGAGATATTATTATACATTTAAACAGTCTGAATAGTTAGTAACTACAAATGAAAACTTACCAAGACGAATATGAAAATCAAATTCATCACGAACAACCATATAGATTGTTCCATCGACCATATTGGTTGATTCAGGTCGTGTTACAATCCATAATGATAATTGTTGATTTTTATAAACATGATTTATTTTCATTTCAATTAAATGAATATTATGTCGATGATTATCATCAAAATGCTCTTCACTATTATAATTAACAGTTAATGATTGAATAAGAACTGGTCGATTCATTTTATTTTTTTCATGATGATCTTTATCGAAAAAAATTAATTTTTTTCTATCATTTATCAAAGATAAAATTCTAGCATGAAATATTTCATGATTTTTCAAAACAAAAAGAGGTGAAAATGTTAATGGTAAATTAATATTTGTACTAGAAAAGAAAAAAAATTAGAAACATTTTCTTGTGAAATTTTTAAAATTTATCTTACTGAGTTTTTAAAATCGAAATATATTCTTCGATTGAAATTTCATATTTACATCGTGGACATTCCATGATGAAGAACGAAACTTTTTATTTATGTTTCACACTTAATACCTCGATATTGTGAATGATCACTGGATCACAAGAGAAAGAAATGATAATATCGTTATAACTATAGTAAGAAAGAAAAATCGTTAAACAATGATGATTCATACGGACATGATATCTTGTGTGCAGTTAGTTAAGAACAATCGCTTTCGAGAACATTATTGTATCCATGTCATGTTGAATCACCATAAGAAAAACAAAGTCGGAATATAGACACGTCATGATTCTCGTTTTATTTTCAATAATAGAATACAAAGAGAGAATAATTTAAAATTTCCCTATTTATAAAAACCGTTGTACTATTCATCCAAATATATATATATAAATAGCTTACATATACTCCTATTGTGTTTGCTGTAGTAAAAAAAAAAGTCGATAACGATAAATATTAAAATCATTTATAAAATATCAGGGCAAGACATAATCAATTTTTCATAATGAATTTTCTAAAGATTGATAAGATAATAACAAATAAGCATAGAAGTTTCTTTTTTTTTTAAAGTTTTATTGCATTAAACTATCAACAAATGCTAGATAGTTTTTGTTTATGCACAATATCACTGAATGTGATTCAATAATAACCTTAACTAAGTGTCTTGATTTTCGATGGAAGTCATTTTTAAATTTTAATTTGATAATATACTATTATCATTGTATCCATTCTGATAGATTTTTTTAAAAACTATGGTAATAAATCATCGTATTGTATTTAAAGAAAAAACAATCCGTTGAGAAAATTACAATGAGTTTTAACTTAATCATAGTTAATTGGTAAAATTATTTATTACACAACGAAGAAAATTCAACGATTTGATCAGGTATCTATTGAAACTGTTGTTGAAATATTTGCTGATTTATAAAGTAATAATATTATTATTGACTTATTTGTGATATTACTCAAGAAATAAATATTTTAATCCTAAAACATCAAGGTTAATTAAATTGTTAAATAATAAAGTCTTTAATATGCCTTATATACTCCTTTCGTTCTCGAATGTCCTTACTATCATAAACCCTTCGATTCATAAACTTTTGCAGGATTTATAGAAAGTATTTTATAATGCAACAGTTGGTTATTTTACGACTTCTGCTGGTGCACCTAGGGTGTCTGAATCTTTACTAATGTAGCACTTCTTCTTAATGATAAATCCATGCAAAATAAAATTGAGAGAATATTATTTCTGTTTCTATCAATAATTGTTATGATTGGAAAAGAATATAATGCCACGGGACAAACCTGTGTTTATTATATACATACTCCTAAAAAAAAACAGGCATTATCTAATATTTTGATTAGATTATCGCCTGGTTTATATGACTTAAATGATAAAATGTAGATTTTATACGAGAATATCAACTACTTAATCTAAAACACAATCCAACAACACTCTAAAATAAGTGTGAAACGAACTACTAGCAATGAAATCTTTTTGAGCGTCATAGATTGTACTCATAAAGTACTGTGATGAGATGAATATTACTTGTCAATTTAGCACTATACATATTTTCTCGTTGGATTACTAAATCAGTTTGTCCGTGTGAAAAGACAAAGTCAGATTAAAAAACAAGATTTTTCAAAAGTACGACTTATAGTATAAAGTTCTTATATTCTAGAACGATGTTTAGTCATGATTTTTCTATCATATTATTAGAATAAACCACATGTTGACGAATCTATTATTTTTATACGAGATTTATGCTAAAAATGAATGGTTAGTCAGAGGACGCAAAAATTGGGTATGAATCGCGCATAGCGCTGACATCGGCAATCAGTTGTGAACAGAATTACACAAAATTCGACATAAATAGTCAACTACTTTCATAACACGAGTATTTGTAGAGGATGAAGCTTATTGAATTGAAATTTTAACTGGCACTCATTATTAAAAGTACTGTTTATCCCGCAAAACAACAATTGAAAGTTCAGATTCGAACTCGTAAGCTTTTCTGTTTCTCGCTTAAGAGAGAGTACTTGTGAAAATTAGTTCTGGTTGAATAGAGATATTTTGTTTCCAAGAAAGTCAAAAAAAAACCTGTTCCTGCAGAAAAATTACTTTTTTCGCTCATGAGATTGATTATTTTACTTTTATAACTTTCGTTGTTCTTCTATTTCTTTTTTTTTTCTTTTATTCATTTCCAACAACAAAAGCAAACGAATTTTGAAGTAATGCATTTCTTTTGGACTCATTGAAATTTTAACTTCGATTTGTTATTTATTTTCGACATTAAAACACAATATTACAACAAAAAGTCAGAGATCTACATTGGAACTCTGTAGCAGCCTGTGCTGACAAGGTTTTTTGAAAAAAACAACATATCGACTTGAAATTAAAGGTCAACACAACAAACGCATTACAAGATGTTTGTTATTACGAGACAACACATGCACCAAAAATCATTGCTCGTCGCAACGCTTCTTTCCGCTGTTCCTCTGGACTAAATGAATAGGCTAAATTTCGCATTGGCTCAAAATAATTTCTTTGCATCTATGAATACTTGAATGTCATTATCTTTTTTACACTTCGTGTTTGCCCATCAATTCATATTGATTGAACAGCAAAGAGATGATTTCTCACTTCACCAATTTCATAAAATTTGTTGCCTATATCACCATATAGAGTATTATTTTCGAAAAAGATCTTATTTATAAATTCGTCAGGACTCAAAGCCAAACAAAGAAGAAACGCCAGACGATCTTCAGCATCTAATAAATTAGCCAAGTTTGCATAGTTACAATAGCGTTTCATATCATTATTTCGATGTTCTATGGCCGAACAGACGCAGTTCAAATAATAAGTCTTGTTCGTTTATTCGGTGGAACCATGAATATATCAAACATTCGTACTATTATTTCGAATGCTTATTCTTGTTCGTTTAGTTTTTGAATGGTACCATACATACATTTCGCAACATCATTATTTAGTACTGTGACAATTTCAATTGTGTCACGCAAAAAGGTATAACCTTTTGGTAAGTAAGCCATGCATTTGGATTCAAATTCGAATTCAAATCAGGTCTAATCGAACAAAAAGCTTCATAACTTTGATTTATTATATAGACTGCAGTTGAAAAATTCTGAAGCAAGTGTTTCATCATATCAATCAACAATGACTGAATTTTCTACTTCCAATCTATGTTAAACAATACTAATCCGATGAAATTCGTTTGATTATGCTCTGTTCTTTTTTTGCTAGGAAGAAACTGAAGAAAAACGGAAGAGTCGAGTTTCTCTTTACACATATAAAACTTTCGAAATGAAGCAATCTATGAAAATATAAATATTTCTTTCTTCAAAGAGCTTTGCGAAATTATTTTTCTATTTATAGTCGACATGACACATAATGTATGACTGTATGCGTGCGCGTACAAGGCGTTGGTGCGAGTGAAGAGAAGGTATGCACCATATATCAACACTTACCCCGTACATTAGGATATAAGTTCGTCAAAAAGTATCCGAAAAATATACCATCTGAATATAACTTAATCTCAAACGCTCATTACAATTGAGAAACTAAATAAAATGTTGATGAAATATAATAAGTGATATTTTGAATGAATAGTGACTCGTGATTGTTGAAAGACACATATTTTTTATATCAAAGACTTTTACAAAAAGAATTTGTAGTTACAGTAGCACAAAATCAAAATTTTCGGTGATTTGCTTGCAACTATGCAAGAAGAACTTAAATATAGAGTGCTGGTAAATAATATTGTAGAAATATTTTTCTTTATCAAATTTTATTGACACAGACATTTTATTATTTCTAACACTATCGAATAAATGCTGTTCATTTTTTCAAATGCGCTTTATATCCGAAACTCTATTCTCTTTCAACATTGAAAAACATATCAAACAGATATTGATTCAATGAAGTCTTCATCAATATTAAACGATGACATAGTTCCTAACATACAATTTTGAAACATTCAACAGCTCTAAGCTATACTGTATTTAGGACTGTACTCATATTAAGCTCCCTTCTAAAAAAAAATGCGACGATACAAAAGATTAGAACAGCTCAGTTAAGAAACAACTGACTGACATGATTCTCATACCGACCTAATGGCAAAACAAAATCTAGGAGACAATTATATCATCTTTTTTTTCCAAGAAACCAAATAAACTATTGATCATTCTCTTTTGCCTCTATTAGATTCAATCAATTATCTCTTCATGAGCCTAGCCCTATTTACATGCAATGAAGTTGCAAAACTATTTTTCTTTTTCCAGCGAAAAGTCAAAAAATAATTTGCTCAAACAAGACAAAACCATTAGTTTTATTTCAATTTCAGTAATAAAAATTAGCAATTTCTTCTAAATAAATCAAGTCATAGAACAATAACACCATTAGACACTAAATCGTTCGATTCGTCACATCTGTAACATTTGCTGACACACATATCACAAATTCTCGTGATGAAATATATCTGATGCAAGTCATTTTTCACATAATTGTGTCTATTTATTGAATTCATTTCATTTCAAAAACATAAAAAATATTATAATTCTGTAATGCTCTTAAGGCTATATCACCAGAATACACTTAAAGTTTTATTTTTTTTCTTCAATTTCTCAAGATATTGTGCACCCTTTTCTGCAATTATGTTTTCGGAGATATTAAGTGTCGTGAGTGTCTGTATAAAATTGGAACAGATGAATATAACATAAATGAGTAAGCTATTTTTCTTACTATGTTCTGCTGTAATTCTTCACCAAGATATTGTGCACCTTTATCTCCGATTTGATTATTTCTCAGATCGAGCGTAGTGAGTGTCTGTATAATATAACAAAGAAGAATTCAATAGACATGAATAGATGACTTCGTTTACCATGTTCTTTTGTAATCCTTCGCCAAGAGATTGAGCACCTTTATCGCCGATATTATTGTGAGAAAGGTTCAATGTTGTCAGTGTCTGAATGATAATAAGAGACACGGCTTGAATAGAATATAACTAAAGAAAAT